TGTGGAATTATAAATTGTTAATAAGGGTATTTTGGTCTAAATTATTTCAAAATGAACATTTTTGTAATGGTGGACATTTTTGCAAATAGATAAAAAAAAATGGACATTTTATGAAATTTCCTCATTAATCAATTCAACTTCGACCGCGCTACACTTACAGAAAAAACACTTACAGACGTTTTATAGATGAGGTGGCAAGTGAGGGGTTTAAAAGGAAGAAAAAAAAAGGAAGAAGAGAAGCTTAGAAAAAAGAGGAGAAAAGCTCTCCCGTTCCTCAACTGGTGAACCCTAAAAATCGACCAATGGAAAACCAAGAGAAAAGCTCTCCCGCTCCAGCCCCTTCCCTCAATTGGTGAAAATCCCCTTTAAATCCTCCAATCGAAACCCTAAAAATTCCCTCATTCCCGACCTCTGTCCCCCGACGAACATTGGCCTGGGTTGCCATCTTCGCCCGGAGCTATCTCGCTTCCCCTTTTCCGTCGAATTTAAACTTTGAAACCGCCCAAAGCTTTGAGCAAGGTCGACCTCCGAATCGGGTCATCACCGCCGTCTAGCAATGTCGCACTGATCTCCACCTTCGCCCATCGTCGAAGTCCGCAATCTCCGCACTCATACCCACTTCCGGCTGGCGACACTACTTTGTGGGTATGATAAATCATCATAAATTCAAAAACCTGAAATCTGAATATGAGATGAATGAATATGAGTATTGACAACTTTGTTAATTGTGTTTATCATGGCTTAATTCAATGAAATTTGATTTTTGTTCGCCGATTTCTGTTTACCTATTTAATTAGGTGTTGATGTTTAGAATAGAAGAAAATGGTGAAGTTGCCTTTGAAAAAATTTATGCACATTATTCTAAGTATGCTTCGTTAATCAGGTTGTTGTTGTCACTAAGTATGCCTTTGAAAAAATGTTGGCGTTCATCAGTTTATGCAAAGCATGCTTTGTTAATCAGTTTGGTAATCAGTTTGTGCTACGTTTGTTAATTGAAGTTTGTGAGTATGCCTTTGAAAAAATTAATGCTTTGTTAATCAGTTTGTTGTTGTTGATTCCCGTCGAGGATGAGACGTAGAAATGTTGGTGTCTGCCATGGCTGTAGAAGCACGGAGCACTTCTTTAGTG